ACAGGGTCTCACTATGTAGTTGAGCCTGACCTGGAACTCACTCTGTAGCCCAGGCTGGCCTCAAACTCACAGCGATCCTCCTGCCTCAGCCTCCCAAGTGCTGGGATTGCAGGCGTGTGCCGCCACGCCCAGTGCATCGTTAGCTTTTGACCAGAAATCCAAAATGAAAAGAACAGAGAAAGATAAAGCTTAAAGGTGGCATTGTGTGATGGGGATTTCAGTGACTATATGGTTTAAACAAATATGAAGAATTTTGTAGAAGGCTCTGATTTTGATCCTCTATGTTATTTCCCAGGGAACATATTCATAAGCTAATTCACTAATATTTCTCCAAGCTTATTGGAATCTGGAAAAGTAGAACCTTGAAATATTTTTGTAGTTGTCTTTTCTACACAGCTGCTAAAATAAGGGATCATAGGGTCAGGGATATAGCTCAGTGGTGCCGCCATCGGCCTCGCAAGCACAAGGTCCTGCATTCAATCCCTGGTACCAAAAGTAAGTAAGTGAATAAATAAATTAAGTAGGGATCATAATAAAAGCTTCAATAACATATGATAGATATAAATTTTATTGTATAATGCTTTATATTTTAAAGGAGAAGGTGAATAAAATATTTGGGGAGAAATATTTTCTTTTATTAAATATTCTGATTCAAAGTTGTTCTTGGAAGTAATTATCATCTACTAGATGATTTTTTTATTAAGCAGGATACTCAGCACATAATGCTGGCATCTATATTTAAAAAATATCAATATATGACCCACAATTCTTTGACACAGAAAAATTTAGTGAGGCCTTACTATACAACAGGCTGTGGTGAAGTCAAAATCTTGAGGAAGTGAAAGAATAAGCCATGCAAATGTCTGGAGCAAGACAGAGAAAGAATGAGTATTTGGGAAGTACACCTAGGAAAGGATGTTTCACTGAATTACACCTGGCCTTCATCTTGGATGGTCAGTGCCCTTGCTCAATCCGCTTCTTCAGTATTTTGAATGCCTCCAGAGGAAAAGCGAGTGCAAAGATCTGATCATGCCTGGTATGTTCAAGAGAAAGCAAAGAGTCCTGTGTAGCCGCTGTGGGTAAATGAAAGCAGAAGTACTAGTAAAAGAGTACAAGAGATCATAGGCCAGATAGGGCCTCAACAACTACCGTCAGTGCTTTGGCATTTACTCTGGTTAAGACAGGGAAAGTTGGAGGGTTTGGGGCCTAGGAGTAATGTGAGCGCACTTTTTTTTTAATGTACCAGGGATCAAACAGGGGTCCTTGCACTTGCAAGGCAGGCGGTGGAACCACTAAGCTGAATCCCTGGCCCCTGGCTTAAGTTTAAATAGCATCCAGTGTCTGTGTTGAGAAGCACCGGCAGGGAAACGAGTGGAAGTCAGGAGATCAATGAGTAGGCCATGGCTGGACCATTGCCAACGAGAGAGATATGACTTTGGAAGAGAGAGGTAACAAGGGAGGAGTGAGCAGTCAGATTCTGCAAATATTTTTAAGGAAGGGCCAAAAGACATTCAGAGATCGAAACAATAATAGATCTGCTTAAACACAGTCTACATTGTACTCACTAAGATTGAAAGGCATAGTTAAATTTTATAAATATGCTAAACTCAGCAAGTAGATTATGTTCAATAGTCAGAAAAATGCATAAATAGTTGATGACTATGCTCACTTCTTTGGCAACCTAACAAGGAGTGATATTCAAAATAGTTAGCAATTGGTATAGCAGGGGTACTAGCCAATCAGAGCAGATACTGGTACAAGGTTTGGACAGTACCCTATGGGTCTATTCCATGCCGTTCATCAACCTGGATTGTGCGAAGGCCTGTGGATGAGGAGACGCATGGAGAGAGGGAAGTAGACTAGGAGTAGTGCTGCTAACCAACTGATAAAAAAAAAGTATTTTAAAAGTTTAATAGCTGGTATGGTTGTGCCAATGGGTAGTTATCAGTCCAATAAACAAAAAGTTGATCAAATTTGTTTTTAAAATAAAGATTATTATCCAGGGTACCATTTAATTTTATTAAGGGGAAAAATCACCTTGTTGATTGAAATTCTCTGCAATTAGGCTAAGTTTATTTACATATGCACAGACAGTGCCTGTATTGGCAGTACTGTTACATTCTAGATGGTCTAAACTGGTGTTTTCTTAGAGGAAGCAATATACACAATAGGGTATTATTCTAACATAAAGAAAATAAACTTGACGCATCTATAGGCAAATAGATACAACTTGAGAATATAATGTTAAATGAAGTCAGACACACAAATTTGAATAATTCCCCAACCTATTCCATTATTTGAAAAATATGTTTATATGTGTCAGTTTGCTTCATTTATACTATTACTTTCTCTTAGTTCATTGAAAAGAACGTTTTTTGCTGTTATCTGTTTTTTCTTTGCAAGTCTTTTTTTGTCTATGTCTTGAACTTTGAGTAACATAAGATTATGATATGCAATATATTAACAATTGTTCTCTTATTTTTTATGAGTTTGTTTTCTTTTTCATAGAAGAGTACTTCTTATATTTTCATTAACATCTACTTCTGTTACAAGAAAAAATTAAAACAAAAAAGAGAGACAGACCTATTTTTCTGTTGAATGAAAATAAGAAGGTATCTGAGGAAGGAGGGATGGTGAGGATAGTGAAGGCAAGAGGAGAAAAAAATGATCACAATGCAATGTATATATGGATCAAACCCCAAGCTGAGTGTAATTACTCTGCATTGTAAAAATGTACTAATATAAGAGAATGAAGGGATAAAAAAGAAAAGATAGCCTAGCAGTTTATGAAGTACATTCACTTTTCCATGATGAAGGGAAAAGGCATATAGAATTAGATGCTGATAAATACACTGCTTCTCAATTTCTCCTACTTCTTAGTGTCTTTCTGTTTCAATGTTTTAGCATGCAAGAAGTTTTTAAAATGGAAAACTTTTAGAACATGTCTAATCTGTCCTCAGCTGTGATGTGACATGTTAATTTTAGATTTGACATCCTGAAGCTCTAGGGCACATGCATTGTGCCTTAATGATATTAGATATCAATTGGGCTTTGACTATGCAGTATTAATTGGCCTATTAATGCTGAATATTAATAATATTCCTAGCTCACCTGTGGAAAATTTGCTATCATCATAATTTTTAGTAAAGAACTTGGTTTTGCTTCATTAGAGGACTCCACGTGTACATAAATTTTTGAGGAGGTATTGAAAACTTACTTTAACCAGTTTATCCATTTGACATCAGTCTCACTCTTGATAAACCTCTCTGGTCTATGGAAATTAGAATACTTAGAACCTATATAATTTGTGCTGCAGGACTTAGGTGTTAGAAAATAATGAAAGACATAAAAGCAGTCTATAATGAAGCTAAACTGATTAGCATGTTAAGCAAGTGAGAGCCACATCTCTAAGGAGTGAGTTTATCACAGTATCCCTGAATGCCTAAAATATGGAGAATAAGGTGGAAATTACACTCTATATGACCTCGAATGGGACTTTTGATTGCTTATACAAAGGAGAATTTTAGCAGTCTCCTTCAGGTTTGATCATTATCACACCATTCATCTGCATGGATATTTAAACTCACCCCTCTCAAAAGATCCAATGTTATTTTTTTAAACATCCAAACAAGCTTGGAGGTTGCAAGAGTAAAGCCTCTAAGGAGACAAGCAAAGTTGGGACAGAATTTTACTTTATCATATGTTAGAATGAAAGCCAGTCTCAGATTGAATCCTGTCACATGTACATGCATTTATTAGCAAGGAGTACCCTCAAAAATACCTATTACAGTTGAGGAATCTTCACTCTTAGGAGCATTGATAAGTATCATGTATACCAGCTTTCTCCCAATATAGGTATGACCATCCATCCATATTCTGACCACCCAGCCTTCTAGATGGAAAGGTGGCATCACATTCAATTAAATGGAGATAGAGATGTATGTGTTAGTCAGCTTCCCATTACTGTAACAAATACCTGATATAAGTCAATTTAAAAAGTGGATTGGTTAATTTTGACTCATGGTTTTGGAAGTTTCAGTCCATGGTCAGGCAGAAGTATTCCTATTGGGCCTGTTTGAGGCAGCATGTCATCATAGTGGGGAATGTATTATAGAGTGAGCTGCTCACCTCAGAGTGGTCTGGAAGTGAACGAGTGGGAGAAAGAGATCACAATCCTACAATCTCCTTCAAGAGTATACTCCCAATTCCCTAACATCTCTGATGAGGCTGTACCTCCAAAAGATTTTACCATCTTCCAGTCACCAAGATGAGGAACAAGCCTGCAATATATGAATCTTTGAAGGACATTCCTCCAAACCACAGTAGGATTATTGAGGAGAGGGCATATTGGGAGCGGGGGTTTCTAAGTAAGCCTAAATACTACTCTGAGGGTGTGAAGCTTGTCAAAATTTTAAACATAATTTATTTTTTTATCTCATTGAGTTTATTGGTACATTTTAGGTATACAGTTCAGTTACATTCATCTTTGGGATCTTGTACCTTTACATGACAGGTCTTGGTTCTCATTTTTTCCCCTTATCCCTGCCCTCCCTTCACCCCCTCCTCCCTTCCCTATTTACAAATACTTTATTTCCATTTTTTCATTTTCTCGTGTTTTCTATTCTTTTCCCTTATTAAATTTCCCCTACCCTTCCCACTTTCCCTACACCTTTAGCCCTTTTTTTCCTATTTCATCTTGTCATTTATATCATTAGGATCTTATGTACCATTATAGTTTTTCACACCAGAGAAACTATTCAGTATTTATACATATGTGATTTATTTATTTCACTTAGGAGTATGTCCTTTACATAAAATTGAGGGCACTTATACTATTCTTGCTAATGATATAATAGAACACTTACTAATTACGTAAGTTGTAAAATTCTCAAACACCATTTGTGCTAAATAGCAAACTTCTTGGAACAGATTTTAGATGGCAATTATTAATATTAAGTTTTGGAGTTATATGGGCTGCTGAGATTCTTTTTTTTTTTTTGGTTGACTTTATTGGTACTGCTTAGGTATACAGTACAGTTACATTCATCATTTGGATCTTGTGCCTGTACATGACAAATCTTGGTTCTCATTCTTCCCCATATCCCTGCCCTCCCTTCACGCCCTCCTACCTTCCTTATTTACAAAGAATATGTTTCCATTTTTAGAATCATTTATAGGAAAATGGATGCATATTGAGGCCATACTCAAGTGAAATTAATAGGACACAAGTGTGTAAATACCAAATAGTTTCTCTGGTGTGAAAAACTAAAAGTGTAAATAAGATTCAAATTGTATAACTGATAATGTGAAATAAGAATAAAAGGGCTAAACATGTAGGGGAAGAGGGAAGGGTAGGGGAAAGGAAATAAGGGAAAAGAAAAATATGAGAAAAGGAAAAATGGAACAAAGTCTTTGCTGAGGTTCTCACTAATGTAATTTCACTCTTTCTAAAACCTAACATACATAAATACGTGTAAACTGAAATATATTTATATTGAATTATTTAAAAGTGAATTTCAGTCAGTATAATGTTCTTTTCTTAATGTTTATTTTGTGGGAAGGAGCATGGTTTTGAAAACTCCATGGGTTTGTCTGCCACTAAATGCACCTCTGAGGAATTCGCAAAGACTCATCGCAGAAATATGTCCAGCACACCTTCCATAGCAGTGTCTGGGACCTCCCTCTCCTCAGGTGGGCACTTAGGACAGTACTACTCCATTGTGAAAAATGACTAAATCCAATGGAACTGAGTGATCTATGTAGCATTCAGTGGATGTTTTATGCTTCAGGAAATATTCATTATTCTTTGATCCATGGTAGGTTTATTAGATGATAACTGCTTAAAGGTAGCACTTGGCCTCTTACATCCATGAAAAATCCATTTGAGTATATATCTTGCCAGGTATCAGCATCAAGTTTAAGAGCTATACCAGAATATGAATATAGAAATATAAGAAATAAAAATGGTCCCAGGGTACATTTGATATCGCTGATAACACTTGTTCAGGGTTTAAGAAAATGTTAATTCACTTAATATAGGGTTCTAAAGTTCCCTGTATATAGACAAATATATAATCCTTAAGTTTAAATAGGGAGCCTTTTGAAAACAACATTACAGTATTAATAATAACTCTTCATCTGTACAGAATATTCATATATATTTTATTTTATTATCACAACAATCCTATGAATCAGTTATCATTTATGCTGCAATTTTATTATCATCGGTGAATAAAGAAACTCCTTAGATAAACTTGTCATACTGCTGATGTTTATGTCTTATATATAGCACTGCGTTCATGACATAATACTCAACATCAAAACATTACCTATTAACTAATGATGATATCTGCATAAAACCCAAGGATAGTTTCTAGATTCTAACTTAAAAGTTTTAGATCGTCTCTCCTAGCCAGCCAGCATCCAAAGGCTCTTTGGGTCTGGTTTTTGAGCAGTTATCTTATTTATTTTTCTTTGTTACTGTTTTATTTCTTGAAGTTCTGGGGAGTAATAAAGCAGTTTGACTGTTAAATGAAAACTTTTAAAGCAGCCTATGAGCCAACATCATAAATTCTGCTTTACCTATTCTACTCAGCAGCTCCTGTATTTGAGTGCTAACTATGTCAGGCACCATGCTAAGCATGTCTACATTATTTCACCGACCATTTTAAACTTAAGTACTTGATTGGTCTCTAATCATTCTCACTTATAAGAAACTCTATTTCAGCAAAACTTTGATGCAGATTTATTCTGTCAAAATAAACTGTCCTGATTTGGTAAGATGTACTGAAAAGTACATTATTCCTTATCTTATATTTTGAAAGCTGAAAGCAAAATGTTCTGTTGATGAAAGAATGTTCTGGTGTCTGAATAAACAGAACTCCCTCTTAGTTTATCCATAATCAATTCCATTTTGTGTGGAAGGAACTTGCTGCATTATGTAAAAGTGGAAGTCTAGAATTGGTTGATTTGCATTTTATATCAGATATGAAAACAAAATGATTTCTGTACATATTGAAATCAAAAATGGTTAGTGGTTTATTTTTCCCAAGCTAAAGGACCCATTGTATGAATGCTTTATTCCTAAGTCTAGGGGTAAATTAGATGCCTTAAACAGCTTGAAGCTTCATATTTTATAGTAGAGCATTTAACCTCCCATGGTCAAAGGAAAAAATGAATGCGTGACTGTTAGTATTCAGTCAAGGCAATTTCTGAAATGCTATAAAAGTATGTTACTATAAACAGCCTGTTGTTACTGGCCCTGGTCATTGCTTCCATGACATTATCTACGCTCTATGCTTGAAAAGAATTAGAATGAAAATGAAACATTTGCAATGAAAAATGAGAACGTCTAACAAAATAAACTGATTCACATCTTTTTCTCCACTCCTTCCAGACCGGAGTCGATCTGAGTTAGATTTGAGTGAGTCATTTACAGAAGACTTGGAGGATAATGTGAGCATAAGAAGCAGGTCTGTCCCTGGGGCTTTAGACAAAGACTTGGTAAGTTGGATGTGGAAAAGAGGCTAATGATCATGCGGAAGGAAAGGCATGATCTGGCTCTCGCCAGCTTCATTCTCCCGTGATGATGAGCTGCGAGTAAAGTGAGGCTATAACATAGCGCTTCGTGTTAGTCTTCACAGTCAACAAATAAAAGCAACTCAAAGAATTATTTACAAAAGGTAACAGGTAATTAGGTACTCGAGAGATTATTTCAAAGAAAAATATTTTTCAGAGATTTCAACTCCTGATTAAAAGCACATCAGTTAATCTAAACCTGGGAAATAATGGATCAAATATTGCCTAACTTCCCTGACTATATATTTTACATGGGCATTTTTACATCTTAAGTTGTTCCCAACAAGTTGCCTTCTCAAAACTGAATTATATGAAAATTAATGTTTCATTGTACTTGTTTATAGAACAAGAAGGTTAAATTAGATTATTGTTAATATTCCTTTACACTCTACTATTCTGACATTCTGTTTTCTATAACTGTTATAATAAAATTTCAACTCTTTGGAAGAAAGATATAGCACAAATGTTAATTGACATTAATAGCTTTTTCTAAGTAAGTCAGGAAACTTGGAGTTCTGGAATTAAATTTTATTTACTACAGTATAAAAAGCTGGAAAAGCACTTTAAAATCCATTATAAAAGAAGTGAGTAGACACGGTCTCAGTAAGGCCAAGAATGGCCTCAAACTCTCTGAACAGCTGGAATTATAAGTGTGTACCACCACACCAAGCACGCAAGGTTACAGTTATTGGCAGAAAAAAGGTAGTGACAAGAATAAAGTAGAACTGAAGTACAGAGACATTCCGATTAGTTACAATTTAAACCTGTGTTGTTTGAATAGGATTTAAACAATTGGCCATTTGTGACTAGCTGAGACTGAGCTACTTGTTAGAAGAGTGGATTACAATCTGCTCATTCATCAAATTAGGTTGCAGTTTGCTATGTATGGAAAATCTTTAGGCCAAGCCTGAAATATACAGAGGCAGCTTTAGACTCATTTTAACGTTCACCAAGAAAAAGCCAAGGTACAGATAGCTTCACTATTAATTTCATCAAATATTTAAGAAAAAATAATACTAATAATTCACAAACTGGTTCAGAAGGTTCAGAAGGAAATATTTCCTAATTCATTTTATAAGGTCAATATTATAATGATACCAAAACTAGAGAAGATATCCCAAGAAAAGAAAACATGGACCAATGCCCATCAAAAATACAGATGTAAACTGGGCGTGGTAGCATACGCCTGTAATCCCAGCACTTGGGAGGCTGAGGCAGGAGGATCGCTGTGAGTTTGAGACCAGCCTGAGCTACATAGTAAATTCCAGGTCAGTCTCAACTACATAGTGAGACCCTGTCTCAAAAAAAAATACAGATGTAAAAATCCTTAATAAAATATTAGCAAACCAAACCAAGTAACAAAAAGAGATCACACACTAACCAAATGGGATATATCCCAGGTATTTAAGTTTGATTTAACATTCAAAAGTAAATTAATGTAATCCAGGGTACTGATAGAATAAATAACAGGAGCCACATCACCTCAGTAGATTTATAAAACTTATCTGACAAAGTCAAACATCCATTCATAATAAAATGTTCATCAAATTAGAAATAGAGAGAATTTCTTCGGTCTAATAAAGGGTGTCTACAAAGTTACTATAACTACCAATGTACTTAATGGCAAAAGAAACCAAATGCTTTCTGTCTAAGTGCAAGTAAGAATTTCCACTTCTGTTCCACACTGTACAGGAAATTATAGCCAATTTGGCATAGAGAGAGAAAAAAATCATAATGGAAAAATAAAAAAGAAAAGAAGGCATCTCATTGGAAAGAAAGCAGTAATAGCTTTCTTATTGACAGATAATATAATCCCACGGGTAGAAAGTCTTAAAGGATGTACAAAAACATGACCAGAACTATTTACAAGGTCACAAGATATGAAATCAATATACAAAATTAATTGTACTGTACAGTATATACTAGTCGTGAACAATGGAAAATTGAATTAAGAATATAATTCCATTTATATTCACAGTATCATGAAATAGGTTTTGGAAAGTTAGAATAAATACATTTTTAAAAGTGTAAGACGAGCATTGAAATTTATAAAGCTCTTGCTGCCCGCCTCACAAGCACAAGGATCCAAGTTCAATCCCTGGTACCGAAAAGAAAAGAAATGAGGAAATCCTATGTTCATAGATTAGAAATTCAATGTTTTAAGATGAAAGTTTTCTTCAAATGGATATATAGTCATAATGCAAATCAAAAATCCAAATAGGATATTTTGTAGAATGCACGTGATGATTCTAAAATGTATATAAAACTTAAAATGGCCTAGCATGACAAAATAAATTTTGAAGATCAAAATTTACTTTATAGTTACAGTAATTAGTGCAGTGCTCTACTGGCATAATAAGCATGGAATAATGGAATAGAATCCAGAGTCCAGAAATAAATCTTCACATTTGTGGTGAATTGGGCTTGGCTTATGAATGGGGAAAATATATTAATTCCAATGACTCATACAGGGACAATTGAATATCTATATGGCAATGAACAACAATAACAAAACTTTGACTCTTTCCACACACACTGCGCACAACACCAAACAAACTCAAAATACATTATGTAACTAAATGTGAGAACTAAAACAGTAAAATTATAAAGGAAATTTCAGGAAGAAATTTTCAGGGTTTCGAGTTAGGCCAAATTCTTAGAAATGACATTAAAATATGCATGATGCATTAAAAACACTCATAAATAAAAGTTCATTAAAAATATAACTTTCACATTTCAAAAGACAACATTACAAAAATGAAAAGACAACTCACATGCTGAAAAATATTTTTTCCCATTAAGTTTATTGGTACATTTAAAGCAAACAGTACAGTTATATTTATCATTGGGATCTTGTACCTTTACACGCTATGTCTTCTTTCTTATTTTGTCCCCGTACCCCTGCTCTCCCTTCACCCACTTCACCCTTCCTTATTTACAATGACTGTTTCCATTTTTGTTCCTTTTTTCACATTTTTTCTTTTCCCTTATTTCCTTTCCCCTCCCCTTTCCACTTCTCCTTTAGCCATTTTCTTCCTATTTCACATTATCTAATATGCCATTTGAACCTTATTTACACTTTTAGTTTTTACAGCAGAGAAACTATTCTGTATTTACTCAAGTGTATCCTATTTATTTCACTTGAGTATAGGCTCAATTTGTATCCATTTAGCTATAAATGTCTCTAGTTTCTCATTCTTCATAACTCAGTAGTACTCCATTGTATTAAAAAAATCACATCTTGGGGCCAAGGGCTTAGCTCAGTGGTTCTGGTGCCTGCCTCACAAGCACAAGGACCCGAGTTCATTCCCTGGTACCAAAAAAGAAAAAAAGAAAGAAAGAAAGAAAAAGAAAAACCACATCTTCTTTATCCAGTCTTCAACTGATGGGCAATTGGGCTGTTTCCAAGTTTTAGCTATTAAAAACTGTACCACTACAAACATGGGTATGGATATATCACTATGGTATGATTCTTTTAATTCTTTTGGAAAGATACCCCATGGAGGGATAGCTGGGTCAAATGGAACCTCTAGACCTCTAGTCCTAGTCCTTTGAGGAATCTCCGTATTGATTTCCACACTGATTGCACCAGTCTGCACTCCCACCAACAATGAAGAATGGTTCCTTTCTCCCCACAGCCCTGCCAACATTTGTTATTGGTTGATTTCTTGATAGCAGCCATTCTTTGTGGGGTGAGGTGGAATCTCAGTGTTGTTTTCATCTGCATCTCTCAAATGACCAGTGATGTGGAACATTTTTTCATATATTATTTGTTGCTTTTACTTCTTTGTCTGAGAAATGACTGTTCATTTCAGATGCCCATTTTTGAATTGAGTCTTTGTATTTGGGGTGTCTGATTTTTTTTAGTTCTTTACATATTCTAAATAGTAGTCCTTTGAGGAGTAGCTGGTAAAAAATATTTCCCACATTGTAAGTTCTTTTAGCTCTGTTGGTAATTTCTCTTGCACTGCAAGAATTTCTTAATACAATGATATCCCATTTGTTTATTCTTGTGCAAGTTCTCATGCTGCTGAGGATTTGTTCATAAAGTCTTCTCCTATGCCAGTCTTCAAGAGTTCTACCTAATTTATTTTCCAGTATATTTAGTGTTTCTGTTTTGATATTTAGATCTTTAATCGACTTGGATTTTAGTTTAGTGCATGGTGAAAGATAGGGATTTAGTTTTAATCTTTGCAAGTTGAAAGCCAGTTTTTCCAATACTATTTATTGAAGAGGTTATCTTTCCTCCACTGAGGATGATTGGCTCCTTTGTCAAGGATGAGGTAGCTGAGTACGTCTGGTGTTGTTTCTGCATCTTCTAATCTATTCCACTGATCCTCAGGTCTGTTTCTGGGCCAGTACCATGCTTTTTTTTTT